GCTCTTCTTCGACGTCTTGAACAGAGGCCACTCTTCTCAGCCACTTTAGAGATGAATCTGCTCAACCCCGCTATTCGACCAGTTAGTATTTGAACCTCCTTCACACTGGAGGTGGCTTCATTTCCATCACCGCTCTCACTTTCTCAGGGTTTACCTCTATTCCCCGCTTTGTCACCATATAGCCCAAGAATTTCCCTGCCTTTACGCCAAACGAGCACTTAGCTGGATTAAGCTTCATGCCATATCCCCTTAGTGTTTGGAAAGTCTCTCTCAGGTCGCCCACGTGATCCGCCTCCATTTTGCTCTTTACCAGCATGTCATCCACATATACCTCCATATTTCTCCCCAACTGGTCTTTGAAAATCTGGTCGACCAGCCTCTGGTAAGTGGCCCCGACATTCTTCAGTCCAAATGGCATGACCACATAACAATAAGTGCCTTTGCTCGTTATGAAGCTCACCCTCTTCCAATCTTCTTTTGCCAAGGGGATTTGATGGTACCCCTGTGAGGCATCCATTAAGCTAAGCAATTCGCATCCTGCTGTGGAGTCAACCAGTTGGTCGATCCTTGGTAGCGGGTATAAATCCTTTGGGCAGGCCTTATTCAGGTCACGAAAATCGATGCACATCCTCCACTTCCCTCTTGATTTGGACACCATCACCGTGTTAGATAACCATTCAGGGAACTGAATTTTCTTGATGTGCCCAGCGTTCAACAACTTTTCGACCTCCTGCTCGATAATTCTGTCCATTTCCACGCCATGATGTCTCCTTTTCTGTTTTACCGGCCTCACGCTGAGATCAATATTGAGTCTGTGCTCGATCACCCTTGCTTCGATCCCCGTTAGCTCATCCAAAGTATACGCGAAGATGTCCGTAAACTCCCTTATTAGACTGATCAGCTTCGACCTGACCGGATCTCCCAAATCTTTCCCAATCCTAAACTTGCGATCGTCACACCCTTGCACCATCTGGACTTCTTCGACCTCACCCCCGGGTTGTACGTCTATCTTCTCCTTTCCTTTATCCTGCCCTCCCCTTTCCTCCTTTGTTCTCGACCCTCCTGGTCGATCGGGCTTCTCCTCTTTGCCTTTCAATTGCTTTTCTGCCATCTGTTTATTATTGCTGACTGTAGTTTGGTAGCAACTCCTCGACGTGAGTTGGTCTCCAGCGATCTCGCCCACATTTTCCCCCACCGGATTTTATCGTCATGTGGTATGTAGACACGACCGCTTAGAACGCATTTAAACCTGTCCGTCCTAAAATGATATTATAAGACGACTCTGCTCCAACCACTACGAACCGAACCATCCTCACTTTCCTCATATCGCCCGACCCCAATGTTACAGTCAGGCTTACTTCGCCCATTGGCATCACCTCCCCTCCATTAAAACCATATAAGACTGTCGCCACCGGTTTCAGCTCCAGATTATAGTGTTTGTTGATCTGCGCGAAGCAGTCATAGAACATCACATCGACCGAGCTCCAGTGTCGATAAACACCCTTTTTACGTCGAAACCTGCCACCTCGGCTGTGATGTGCTGGAACACGCCGACGAGGCGGTCCTACCCACGGATCGATATCGGATACCAAACATGTACATACATGATTTCGAATAAACCTAAGCATGCTCCTAAAGGACGAAC